TGAAGTATCATGACAAAAGGATGACTTTGAAATATTGAATACCAATTCAGAAGATACTGACATGGTGGAGCTTTGCCTAGGGTCAGGGGTTCGAATCCAACTGCTGGCAATATGTTGCCCCCTGGCAAGCCACTTTACCTCCCCTGGCCCCCTGAGTATACATGGGTACCAGCACTGATCAGCAGTAGCTAGGGGGTAACCTGCAATGGACTGGCATCCAATCCATATTTCAGGGGGAACAGAAATATTCTCAGTTGTTTCATGCCAAGGAAACACCAGTGTGATAGGCCATAACTGGCTCGTGATAAACGTTAGTTACTACCAGCAAGGGGGGGGGGGAGATATCCAGAATTTTTTTGCGGGTGGGGGGGGGGGGTGTTGTTTCAGGCCAGTCAGATTTTTGGCTTTTGCGCAAATTTGTGAAAAAGCCTTTCTTTTTGTTCTGATTTTTTTTCTGTCTTCTTTTTGTTCCCTCGCAAATCATCCTGGGTCATGAGATGTCATCTTAAAGGTGCATATTTCAAAGTCCAATAGGCCTACCGTATCTGGAGAACTTAGTCGTGGAACTATGTTCTTTCACATACTTTACCAACATCAATTGCAACATCACAAAATACTTGCCACCTCCCTGGAATTCTAGGCTCGGTGGTAAAGTATTCAGATTTTTATGGCTTTTTACAATTTTCTTTATATTCAGGATCTACTGGAATTTGCTTTAAACTTAAACCGTACATTCAGTATATACTGTAGTCCAATTTTAGCGTCTTGTGGTGAATTTTTCTGCAGTCAAGTGGTGCCATTTTTCAGTAAATGGTTCTCTACAAATGTGCACTGCATGTACACGAATACCTATTGAATGGTATAAAGTGTTGACATACCATAATGTTAAATGTGATGCAAATCACATGTGAAAGATGCTTCAATATTTCGCTAACGGTTGCCTGTAGGCATGACATCATATGGCACATGGTCCATATGCAGGAATATTTGGTTAGAAATTTGGCAAGAAGATGTATACATAAACATGAACATAAAAAAAATTAAATGAAAAAAAATCCAACACCATGCAGTTTACAGAAAGCAGGCATGTTTGGTTGCTTGTTGACAGGGTACCGGTGTTTGTTTTGTGTAAACCGTCCCATAGCCCCTTGATCTGCCCATGGAGAAGGTGAAAAAGCTTGAATTCAATGGATCCTATTGAATTTGGTGGGAACAAGCGGGACTTCCCCTCATGAGAAATAAGCCCATGACAATGGATGAATTGAAATAATTTGACAACATCACACTGACTAATAGATTAATTAATGTGTCAGTAATGTTGGCAAAATTATTAATTGCCGAGGGAGATGTAAGTGGGTGGTTCAATTCCACCGGTGCTTCAATGACTCCATGACACACTCTGCATATATAGGCTTTTGATATATAACTATTGTGTACTTGGGACCTTTGTTTTTCCAGTAGGGTTGGTTGTTTTCTGTGTTTGCTTGTAGTTTATTTTTGTCTGCTTATAAATTGAAAGTACTGTTTACATTCTGTATGCTGATGTGTATGTAATTAGACTCTGACCAGGTCGTAAACTTTACATGTTCAAGTGCACATTACACATGCATGTCAATAAGTTTATCACAGCCCGAAAAACAAACAAAATGCCAAACTAAGTCACAATCAGCCTCTGCACATGACACCCTATTTAGGATTCAAGTCCTTTTTGAAACTATATAAACTGCATTTCATTGGCGGGAATTTCATAACAACGATCAAATTTCATCAGCCGGGATTGTAGCAGCCAGGCATTGGAATCACGTACATGTACCGGTATAACAATTCGATACAAACTTATTTTGATAGCAGAATCGCCAAAATTCTGTGATTGTAGTTCTCGGTAATCAAGACAGTTCTGCTGTCTTCCTGTGTTCCTGGAGATATTTTTGTTTTGTCTATTGTCTAATGGATAGTGTGTAAATTGAACATTTGAGAAGTAGTTCACAGGGGTGCATACATGTACTACGTTCCGCAGTCCCAATGTTTCCCAATTCATATGTTCCCTAGTACTATGTTCCCCAATCCCTATGCTTCCCAATCCCTATGTTTCCCGATACCAATGTTCCCCAGTCTCTAAACCTAACCCTATAGGATTGGGAAACATAGGGATTAGGGAACGTAGGGATTGGGGAACATAGGGATTGGGGAACAATAGGGACTTATGGGGATTGAACATAAGGGTTGGGTAACACAGGGATTGGGGAACATAGGCATTGGGATTATAAATTGGAGGGGTAACCTGCCAATCGAAGATCTTAATTGTTCTGTAATACTTGACAAAGCCTGGCTGTGGGCCAATGAGCAGGGCCCAATTTCATAGCGCTGCTAATACAGCCGACTTTGCGCTTATCAAGCCTCCATCTATTTCATCAGGAACCGTTAAGCAGTAAGCACATAAGCACGCTTAACCCCAGAAGAAAACTTTGCTTAAATCAGTGACGTAACAATAGAAATCTTCATTCGCGCGCAACCGTTAGCATGAAATAGTGCTTAAGCAGCAGCATGATTTTCTGCTATAGTAAGCACAACTTTTCTGCTTACTGTTAAGCAGCTATGAAATTGGGCCCTGTTGTACTTAGTTTGCTTGTAATTTATTTTTGTCTGCTTGTAAACTGTGCATGCACGTAGTGAGTGGACTCTGAATGCTATAATATGATGCATGCACAAAACCAGGTCACAAAGTACATGCTCAAAGTGCGTGTTCCACATGCACCCCTTTGTCCATATTTTTGTCATTTAGCATATCATAGCCCGAAACATAAAAAGAACACACATGTTCCCAACCGGCAGTGCAAAACAACCAATCAAATTATAGAGAGCCTACGTCAATCATAGGAGCCTTTCATTAAATATGGCACTAAAATACCGATTTATAGACCATAAAAGCATTTGTGTCAATGGTTGTGTTGGGTTGTTTGTTTGTTTGTTGCCTGGGTTTTTCTGTAAACCTCCTAACCCCTCAATCTGCCCATGGGAGAGGTGAGAAAAAACTTGAATTCAATGGATCCTACTGAGTTTTGTGGGCACAAGTGGAAATTCCCCTCATGAGAAATAGACCAATGGCAATGGATGCATTGAGTAAATTGAATAAAACGGAAAAAATACCAAAGTCGAATGCAATATATGTCGTGCAAACAAATTTGAAATGTATATGTCTGTCACAAGTAAATCATGTACACTGTTATTCTAGGATCCCATCAAAACACATGACCTTTCTATGAAGTGCCATGTATGACAAAAGGATGACTTAAAAATATTAAACACCATTAGGCCTGCTAGACTTATTGCAACTGAAGGGCAAACAATATCAAATAGCAAAACCACATTTTTGAATGGCCAACTCGAGCATTTCTTTCCACATTAATAGCATCTTGCAAGTCAGTTTTTGGCAGAATTATTAACAGGTAAAGTACAATGTAGCTCAACTTTCAAATTTCTAAAAACAACATTGAGGAGAGCCATATTTTGACATGCAATCACCATCTAACTCTTCATCTCTTACCAAAATTCCAACAAATATCTCCAGTGAGTAAAAGTAAACCTGTTTTAGAATGTTGATTGCAACATTGTAAAATACTCTTGGGCATAGGTATGATCAACCTGTGCATTACATTACCGTTTGTTTTTGTATGCTGGGGTAAATACAACATCAATTCGTCGTGCCGTGAGTTCCGAAAACACACTTGTTGTCGAAGTTAAATTGTTACAATCTTATCCTGCCAATATGCAATATCCCATTTTATATTAATATGCGCAAATTGGAAAGGAAAGGTTTTTTTTAGAAGGTGTGTGGACGTTATAATTACAATGGTCGTGAAAACATATGTAATGCATGTTGGAAATAACAATACCAAGTACACGATATAAATCCATTGCTAGCAAATTGCCATATCGAATCAGGATACAGGAAGGAAGTTTCCTATCCAGGGCTTACTATTGGAAACGAGGTTGGAAATAAAGTAAGCACTGGGGACGAGGTTGAAGTATGATGGATTAAAGGGAAAATACAAACATCAAAAAATATAACTACCAAATTATTTTGAAATATATTACTGGGCTGTTGGTGAATGACAGTCTAAAGCATCCTGTAAAAAGTAGCATTTTCGTATCAATTTCCAACGCTGATCGGCCGACCTGCGTTGGAAAAAAAAACTGGCTCTTTTCAATTACTGACCCCAATTGGCCATATTTAGTAAGTCCACATTTATTTGCAATCGATTACACACCTATGAACGGGTACAAGCCTGCTAGACTGGTTCCCCGACCTTACAATTCCTCAACGTCTATACATTGCTCCGTTTCATCTTAAATGGAGTGAAGGAACCAGACTACAGGAAAATGATGGTTTTCTTGGTTTGTATAGCATCTACGAACCCAAAAAGTTTTTTTTTAAAGTCATTGTAACAATATTAGCTATTATTACCAACCCCCAAATCCATCCATTTCTGAAATTACAGCAAAAGCAAATGACGTATTATTCCCGTCAAAGTTTACACAACAATAAGCCTTTTCGGAGTTCCAACTACGCACATTCGTAACCTGTGACAACGCATATTGTTTGTCTCAAATGCCCTTTGAGAGTACCCACAATGCACAAACAGCCTTTTTGTAAAGTCAGTGGCGCGATGTTGTCAAAGGCCATTTGAGACAAACAATGCGCGTTGCCACAGGGTACGAATGGGCAGTTGGAACTCTGAAAGGGCTTATTGTACAACTTGGAATTCCCGGTGATGCGCACGCAATGCCGGCAGGAATAGAACATGACATCATTGTATGAGCACCAATCACGTAGTCTCAAAAATTCAGGTCTAGAACATGACAGGAATAGAACATGACATCATTGTATGAGCACCAATCACGTAGTCTCAAAAATTCAGGTCACCGCCTGCTGCACAACTTCCGCTTGATGTGCGAGTATATAAACCCGTGAACAGCCGTGAACAGCCTATTTTTGGTGCTGGCAGTCAAATGTCAGCTATAAACGTACAGGTGAGTTTTTAAAATTCCTTCACTTCAACTGTGGTCGGAAATCCAAAATGCCTCAGTTGACGGATTTTGATGCTTGTTTTTAGCTTTACATCAGATATTCAACATTCTCGACAAAGAAAAAAATCTATTTACACAAGTAAATCAATGGTTTACCCTTGGCTCCATGGTTTAACCACATCTCTTTCGTTTACTGTACGTACATGCTCATTAGATTTAGTTGCAGCAGGCAGTCATGTTATAGTTCAGCATGTGTAGTAGAATTTCATGAAAAATATATCTTCATTCTTTAGAGTTCAAACGTTTTATAGAATTTCTACAAAAAAAAACATAGGATCTTTATAAAGAGACTGTATGAATTTTCTATTTAAGTCTTCTATCTTTAGACCACTTTTGAACAATGTGATTGATGTGATACCCAAGCGATTACTAAACCCGCGATCGTTCAGGCACCAGAAAAATCTGGTCCAAGATAACAGTTCCTTCAAGGAGTCTCCCCAGACGACAGACACAACATTGTTTTTTCTTGCCTTGCACTATTTGTAAGATTGCCTTCCTCTCTCTGGCAACTGAATGTGGTGTGCTAACTTGGTTTTCACTTGCATTTCTTCTCTTTCGTTTAGAATAACAAGAGTATGCTAAAAATGCCTGAGTCGACCAAGCAGTTGAAACAGGAACAATATGGTAAGTGCATTTTTTTCCCTTACAATTCGTGTGTAGTAGAATATCAACTGAACACTTGTACAATGGATGAAACAAAAAATTGCAGTGGTCAGAAATACATCAGGAAACAAATTGGTTTTTGTTTAGCATGGGTGTACCAAGTTCAGAACTCCAGAGAGATTCCTTTTGTAAGTGTGGGGAGGGGGGGACGACTTGAAAAATGTCATTTCAGTTTTGTAATCTACAACATCTACATATTGAATCTTTGCATATAGCTGGAAATTATGTTTAATATCTTCTGTATGGCCATAACAAGATATATACATGTATTTATTGAATGGTGAAAAAATAGTTATGGAAACTTTGTGGAAATTGTTGCATGAGCCACCTTTTCCTCATCTTTTGATCTTCTCTCAAAGAGAGATACAGGGTGTCTTAAAAAAAATCCCTGTCTTAAAAAAAATACATCGCAAATATCTATACATATTTCGTCACCGACACCATGAACTGACACCACGGTGGTCAGCGTTGCAGTTATACAAATCGGAGAAAAACGCTTTTAAAGTTTTGACACGAATTTACTCAGTAAAATAATCCATTTATCTGGTTTTAGTATCATTTAACGTGAAATGCTCCAACTACTCAATTATAAACGTTATATTGTTAAAATATGCTTAGTTAATTAGCAATTAAATGATTAAGACAGGTGTCAGTTCGTGAAAACGAAAATTTATGTGTTTTTGGAGAGTGCATGCATGCAATATTGTTAGTTACATGTAGTGTCAGTTCGTGAAAACAAAACTTGACGGTTTTGGGAAAGTGCGCGCATACACTGTGCATGCGTGCGCACACTCTCGAAAAACACGTCAATTTTCGATTCACGAACTGACACTCCCTTACGCTATTGCATGCGCGCACTCTCTGAAAACACGTAAATTTTTGTTTTCACGAACTGACACTCTGTGCAGTGTCACTTCGTGGTAACAAAAAACACCAGAATTGACCAATTTCTTGAAAATTCATTAGTAAAATTTGCTTATTTTAGATGATGTCAGAAATTTAACTACGTCATGTTAAACTTCATGATACAAACTGTTAAATATCGGCAAAAAAAGAAAATTTGAATTTTTAAAATGTTTTGTACACATGTGATGCAGAGAGTGTCAGTTCGTGGTGTCGGTGACGATTTGTTAGAAAGCTTAATTCATTAGCTTTTTAATTCATTAGTTTTTTAAAAACTCTTTTCAATCCGGTAATTATTTATTGAGTTATGGGCAACTGAACACAAGTGCCGTTTTTTCATTTTGTCCACGACCACTGATGTTTTGACTGCCACACGAAGGAGACGTGCCAAAACTTGCATCCATGAAAAAGGCTACCAAGTAGAGGGCAGAGACAGAGCAGCACAGTAAACATCTAAGAAGTTAACCAAACAGTCCTTTTCTGGACTACCAATATACTTCCAAAGGGATAAATGGTCAATGTTGCAAAAAAGAGCCAGATAAAGAAAGAATGATTAAACAGTCAAGAAATTAAAACTCCCCTAGCCCTACTCCTTTACATTCCTGACAAATGACAATGGAGACCGTGGACTGATTGAAAAATCGGTACTTATTTTGCATTGGCCATAACTCAATCAATATTTACCGGATTGGAAAGATTTGTTCGCTGTTGAAAAGCACTGTGCTGTGAAATAGAGGGAGTTTCGAGGGCTCATTTTTGGAGGCTTTTTTCGGACACCTTCTGAAGTACAGGTTGCCTTTTTCTTCTTTTTGTATCAGTTCTAAAAAATATAACAAATGGCTTAACTGAGGGACTGAGTGAACAGGAGGAACAGATCAGTGGGACTGAAGCCAGCTTCTCATCAGCTGTCACTCAAACACAGTAGCTCAAGACCAACGGCTGCACCTCTAAGGAGCAGGGCACGGGCAAAGGCTGTAAAAGGAAAAAGAATCAGACACTGGCCAGCACAAAAAGCAGGTAAGCGTCGATATTGTTTTGCATTGTTTAGCTTTATGTACATGTATCTTGGTTTAAAAAATTCAATCTACTGTAATGATCAGAATGTTCGTTATTTCTTCATCCTTGGCGTTACAAGAACTTTTTACGTACTTTTTGGTGATAGGTAAATTTGTTATTTTTTAAGCAAAACTTAACACCTTTAATGATAACTGTCTCCAAACACAATAACACTCTCAATGGCTTTTTAATTACGGCAAAATTGAAACAAGTGTCACATGGCCATGTGAAATATTTGCATGCTTGTTGTGTTATTGATTACCGTATTTTCGTTTTGCTCCTATTTCTCTTTTATTTTCTACTGGCAAAAAGGCCCAGTCCAGAGTGCTCAGAAAAAGAGATACAATGTAGAGCGGTATGAGGCCGTCGCTCAACAGCCCAACTACGAACAAGTTGGAAAAAGGCACAGCCCAGACGGCATCAAGGGCTCAGAAGAAAAGATCACGCGTGATGAGGCCGTTGCTCTACAGCTCGACGACGAGCAAGATGAAAACTCTTCTGACACAGTGAGTTCTTGCTTATTTTTCATTTCTTCTTACCCTTTAAGACCTATAGGACCTTAAAGAAAATGTATGAATCTTCTATAGAATTTAGAAATCTTCTACAGACCACTTGCAATAATGTGATTGATGTGATAACGAAGTGATCACTAAACAATGTGATCGCTTAGGCGCAAGAAAAAAACTCGCCCAAGATGAAAGGTAACGTCAGCAAGTGTCCCAAAATACCAGAGAGAACCCCAGATTTCAAATTTTCTGTGCCCCCCCCCACCAAAATACTGATAATGCCCCTTTTCCTTCCCCAACCAGAAAGGGTTTTTGTAAGTCGTATAGCCAACGGCTTATTATTTATAATTTCTTATGTCAATGGATATAGCGAGGCATTATGGGACCCAACTGGGAAAACTGCAATAGGACATTTGCGATATGTGCCCACCCCCCCCAATGATATTCTGATGCCCCCCTATGCCCCCCCCCCCCCCCCCCACTACAAAATTCCTAGCTACGCCACTGAAGCTACCGGTATACCACCCCGGGTACTTGGGATTTTGTGTAGAATGCTTAGAGAGCCACTTTTTACAGCAATGTGTCAGTAATGTTGGCAATTATTAACTGGAGATGTTCAAGGCGTAACACTAGCGTCCACAACAACCAATTAAGCTGAAATTCTGAATATACTTAGATGATATAATTGTTCAAATACTTGTGAAATAACAACTTGGGTAAATTCCTAGAAATTGGGATAAATATATACATTTGGGGAAGTTTTCGAACAATTTCTTCCAGACTTGAAGGTCAGCTTTGACAGTAACCAGTATTGACATTTTGGCATCGATGACAGCGATTTTTTTCACTGACATGCAGTTAAGAATTTGTTCTTCAGTTAGAATGTAACATTTTAATCATACTGAGCATATTTTCTGAGAAACACAACATTCGAAAGGCCATGTTTGGGGGGGTTCACGAATTTCAATGCTCTGTTACAGTGTCTTTATGTAGTCGGATAAGCTTTCCTTGACAATGACTGACGCTTTGCCTTGGCAACCGTGTGGCTGTAGGTGTGCAGCATATCTAAAAAAAAAAAAAAGAATCCAGGAAAAGGTAATAAAGCATGAATGCGCACAAACTTGTACAATGAAAAGTCACAGCCCCTGGGAATCACACAATGGATCCCAAGGCATTGCGAAACAAACCAAATTTCCCTGATGAGAAATACAACTTTGCTATTGCATCATGACATTCTGCAGAAGCTGAAAACAAAATGATCTAACTTGCTATATATCCCTCATGGGGCAATAAAACTAAGCAGCCACTTATATCAGGCAAATTCTGTATGAAGTACATTGATTGCTAATGCCAAAGGTGGACAACTTTGAATACAATGGATTGCTATATATAGGAAAAAAGAAAGAAAACACCCCCAAGCCAAACCTGGACTAGCCCCTGTTTGGGTCACTGTTTAGAACATTAATGTAAATAAGCCCTTGTAACTTTAAAAAAAAAATTCTGTACTTAATTTTTGTTTCATATATTCACAGAGTCAAAAGAGGAAGCATGAAACTTCCAATCCAACTCAAGAAAATGACCAGCAGGAAGGAAGCAGAGAGTCATCAATGGAGAAAATACAAGATATAGCTTTGGGGTTAAATGGGTTAGGACGTGCTGGGGTGGACTGGAGAAATGAGCAGCTCCTCTCCCACTGAAATATCCCATTACATAGCACAGCGTCTCAACATTAGCCTCTCCTAACCAAATCCTACTGTCTGGCTTCTCGTGCCAACCCTGTTTTTACTGAACGGCAGAGGGTGTCAGCGTGTTCCTGGCGCTATAACCAGGTGCTCCGGGTAGGTGGAGCTCGTAGGCTTGGTTGCCAGTCCACCTAGGAGAGGGACAACTCTGATCTCAAACCCGGGTAGGTAGAACTCGTCAGCCTAGGACGGCTGTCTGCCTAGGAGAAGGACAACTCTGATCACAAACCCGGGCAGGTAGAGCTCGTTAGCCTTGGCTGGCAGTCTATACTTGTAGCTGTCTGCATGCGACAGCGGCCACACCCCTGGCAAAGTAGTTTCAAAGGATTATGGGTATGTCAGCCCTTGCATGTGAAGACTGATTCCCGGCAGAGCGAGCGGATGAGATCAACAGTGGATCCAACGGTCGTGAAGGCGGTGTCAGCAAGTGCTTGTGGAGCGCGTTAGAGCATGGACGTGACACATAGTAAGTCCTGGTCATCCACTGCAAAAGTCCTGCGGCGATGGGCGAGTGGCGAGGCAACAGGTGTTTGGTGAGCACTGGCAGTTGTTAGTCACAAACCTGCACGTAGGCGGCCTTTGGGAGAGTGGTCGCTCTTCTCCTGAACTTTGAGGGCAACCAGGAAAGCTCGGCAGCACCCAGGGCGACTGGGCAGCCTCTTTAGGACAGCACTGCCCACCCTCGCATGAGGGAGGGGGTTAGAAAAGGTACCCTAAACAATGCTTTGCCCTCTTCAGTCTGGTCAGCTTACCGCGGTTGACAGACTCATCCAAATTGCGGTCCCAATAATATGGCTTTGAAAAATACAGAAAATAACAGACACCGGTATACATTTCTGGAGAAATGTGGTTCCGGCAACTGTGAAACGTTAGATAGTGAAACGTTAGATAGTAAAATGTTCAGAAAAAAATATTCGAACAAAAGTCATGGAAATCACTTATCTGGGATTTTCATCAGCGCAGATGATCTTATTAACAAACATTTAAAGATAAATAACTATTTAGATTGCCTGAAATATGATTGGAACTTTATTGGATTCTCTGAGACATTTCTCAAAAAGAACAGTCCTCACTTACATATGTGTGGTTACAAATTCGTTGGTCAAAACCGAGAGGGTAAAAAAGGAGGTGGTGTTGGTCTTTACGTGCGTGAGGGCATCCATTTTGAACTAAAGAAAGATTTGATAATACAAGGAAATTGGTGCAATTCCATTTTCATTGAAATACCATGCCCAACTGGTAGAAACATTGTTGTTGGTGTTGTTTATGCTCCTACTATAAGCAGAAAAAACAAAGAATTGTATGGTCAATTTGTGAAATCTTTTGACAATATCCTTTCCACGATAAAGAAGGACAACAAAACAATCTCTTACATAATGGGGGACTTCAACATCAATCTTTGCAGCAATCATCCGTTTAAGGAAGCTGTCAATAATAATGACCATTCATTTCTTATCAACAGTCCAACTCGTGTAAGCACAGAGAAAGGAATTGAAAGGAGAACGTTAATCGACAACATTATCACGAATGCAAAGTATCAAACCACTGCGGGGATTTTAAAAAGTGATGTTTCGGACCATAATCCAATATATTTTTTCTCTCCAGTTGCGCACCTTACTCCTCATAACAAACAACCACGACTTTTTCGAAGAATTCGAGACCAAGACATCAACAAATTAAAGGATGAATTACAGAAAACTGATTGGAGCCATGTCTACTCTTTAAACAAACCCAATGAAAAGTGTAATAAATTGTTCTCAATGTTTTATACATCACACAATGAATGTTTTCCATTAACTGAAGACACATGGATAACGGATAAAATTTTAGACAAAACTGAAGAAAAGGAGAAACTATTTCAAAAAAATGAGGGACTTTATCAAGCAAAAGAGAGACATATTAAAGAAAAAGTGAGAAGATTTACAGAAATAGAGGAACTTTTTAAAGAAAAAGAGAGACATTTTAAAGAAAACGAGAAACTAATCGAAGAAAAAGAGAGACTATTTAAGGAGATAGAGATGTATTCAAAGTACAATAAGATCTGTAAGGAACTTGAGCAGTTGATAGAAACTGCTAAAAAAAAGTACAATAATTCTAAATTCCACAATTATGATATTGATATTCCCTATGAAGCTCATCGGTTGAAACAACATAATTATAAATCTAGCAGAGTATGCTCGTGTATCTCTAAAGAAGCTAATCAACATGAAATGGCGAATTTAGTTCATACTTATCGGCTACCTGGCAAACCTTTTAATCAAAAACATCTAGAAAAACAACATCTACTAACACCTATTGTCTGTGCGACTATGCACTTCACTGATATAACATCTGAAGAAATTGAAAAAACAGCAGATGAGATTTTCAAAGATAATTCACCTCTTGATTCTGATAGGATAAGTCCGTACGTTGTCAAGAAAGTTATAAAATCTATAAGCAAACCCTTAAGTCACATTCTAAATCAGTCTTTAAACCAAGGTGTTTTTCCTGACGCTATGAAAATAATGAAACGTACTGTATTCTTCACGAAGAAAGAATGTAAGGAGAAATGGACTTTGTCCTGTTTTGGTGAAATATTTGAAAGGATTGTCCACAAACAAACAAAACAATTCCTAGAAGAAGTTAGGTTTATCAACAATGATAAACACCCCGATGAATTTGAGAAATTTGGTGAATTAGAAAGGTCATTCACGGCCATTGACAAAGGCATCCTGCTTGATAAATTGAAGGAAATAGGGATCCGTGGGACTACTCATGACTGGTTTTCCAGTTATCTTGAACATAGATATCAATATACCAAATACAAATCGTCTTTGTCTGACTGTAAGGAAGTATCAACTGGAATACCTTGTTCTTCCATTGGATTTCTTCTTTATGACATTTACACACAACCCAAAAATTAATTTCTTAAGCAAGAAAAATATTCTTGAATATAGAATATAATTTCAGTTCTGAGAAATGTCATGACAAAAACCTTGTTTTGGAAACAAACATTCCAACTTTTAGTAAGAACATGATTGAAGTGTTGTAATGTAATATACCCAGATTGGGTTTCTTCTTTATGCTATTTTCTTGAACAACGTCACTGTTTGTCCCGTTATTGTACACCAAGATGAAGTAGCCATAATTTATCACAGTAGTAAGATGCAAAGAGTAGAAAGACAACTTTAATAATCTTCAGAAATGGTTCGAGGAAAATGGCTTGCTGCCTCATCTAGTAATTAATAGATGTCATTACATCAGATTTAATATCAACACACAAACCACACAAATACCGGTAGAAGAAAATGAACAGAATAACCCAAAGAATACCAATAGGCCTTCATTGGATTCAGCAATCAAAAAAGTTGAAAAAACAACATTTTGTGGTGCAACAATTGACTCAAAATTAATTCGAGATGAACTTGGGAAATCAAAATCTGCTTCGTTCTGAAAACTGTTAAGGCTATTAACTATTAAAACTTATGAACATTATTGCAAACAATAAGCATTTATATAAATCATAGATTCATCCTGAATATTTTAAACAGTGTTAAAAATAGTTCACAAATATCCATGTTAATCAGTACTATTCATGGGGTTTTTTCCCAGACTTTTTGTCACACAAAATTGTTTGTCTGGTTTTTTTACTCCATGGATGTGCGGATTACAGGGAGTTTAATTTCATCAAGATATCAAATAGTAGTTTAGTAAGAAAATTCAGCTGTTGATCTACATATTATCTAATGTAAGTGTGAACATGTTTAAGGTTTAAGAGATCATTTTTAAGTGATTTATGTAGAACTGGTAATAACAGACCAAAACACTCCAAATCTTAGTTTTACAAAGTTACACATTTTGTTTACCTTTTCCTTATTTTATGTTATTTGACTTTTAACTTAAACCATTTCACTATGCGTTTTATGAATGAATAAATAGGTTTATGCTGCTTTATTTTGTGGCAAAACAAATAATTGTAAATTGGTGTCATGTGCTAGGTTTTTTTGGTGCTAATTCTCTTTATTGACCTCTTTGTACCTGACTAACTCACCATTACTGACTGACTGTTACTTGTGACTTGGCCTGGTTGTTGGCTGGTGCAGAGTGCCGGGCAGTGCTGTTGTATAGGAAACCCCTGAAATAGGCTGAATCCAGATTGTTGTGTAGACCACTCACTAAAAAAGACTTCCAGTGAATGGCCATTCTGAATCAACTGAATTGAATCGTATGCTCTCTGGGGCCAGTTTCACTAGACTTGCCCCCATCTTTTTCTTTTTTTGTGTGTGAACAGTCAGATTTACACATTTCAAGATCATACACTTTTGTAGTCCAAATCTCTCTCTATATATAGTCAAAAGAGTGTCACCTGGTATTTGTTACTTGATTTTTACCATAACCCTCTTGAAAAAGCATTCATAATTACCTGAGACAGTTTACCCATTCCTATTGGTCAAGAGCCCGTCACGAGGTTGGTTTTAAGCCACCAGTAGAATATCGCTGTGTTCTGCGCCACATCTCACGGTACGCGCCGCGCCCGCGTGCCAATATCCAAACGGGGAGATTTTTGGTACTACATTCGTGAGGCACAAGCTATAGGGGTGTTTCACAAAACATGAGGTACAATTGTTGAACAAAATTGTTTAAAAAAGGAGGGGAGGAAAGGGGAAAGCCTTAAGGGTGGGGGCAGCCGTACATCTGATCAATGCCCTCAACGTGCTCTCTGGGCATGGCACGCTGTATGCAGATGTGGCTGAAACCGTCTCGTCATGCCATTTCTCAAACCCAGGCTGTGACCACTGATCTCTATTATAAAGACTGGATAGCGGATATGCATACAACATTCACACAGTAGACTTTGCATATTGACCAATTCGCCCCTGGTCTCACAAAGATGGCTGCGTATAATACGAACGTTCTACGCGTAAATACGCGCGCGTTGTATCAACAGTTGACGCGCATTTTGGTCACGTACACATATTATGATGTTCTAAAAGGGACACATTTCCGTAGTGATTATTATTTCAAAACACCGAAAAAGTGATATTTGCGGCATTTTAGTAACCACGACGTTAGAAAAATTGTAGTTAACCTTGGTCAGTGGTGGTGGTCAAAATATAAGTCAAGTGAACCGCGACGTTACAAAAGAAATTATGCTGTCTATAAAGACGGCAACTTGTCCTTTGTAGATCACCAGCCGGTCTCACCAATATGGTGTCAAATTCATTCATTGTGCGGCTCTTTATTAGCTATCCAGTCTTTATATAGAGATCAGTGGCTGTGACTCCCTATTTTATGAATTTCTTTGATGGCTCATTTTTGGGGGGAAAATTTTCTCGCTATACCACAAATTTTTTCGCTACGCCACTAGACACAAATGTGAATTTTGAAGGATTGCAGTAACAAATTCTACTGCACAAGCTCTTTCAGATGCAACATATTCACGGAACGTCAACAACAAGATCAAAGATCAACTTTATGAATAAAATCTTGTAAAGAACACCACTGATCTCCATGTAATAAATCTGAATAGCTCGCTGGTCATTCAGGTCTTAATGAAAAGTGAAGCTTCACACTGGTTCCCGATCCCTCCATTCAAATGTGTGGAGAGAACCAGCCTCAACTGCTCCCATCGTTCAAAAGAACTAAAACAGAACCTTCTGAAAACACACAAAGCATTTTCTTCTCAACTTAAAATTTATACCAAATATCTTTTGCTGCCATCTTATTTTTCATTAATACAACATGTACAAAGATTGAGTTAAAAAAAGGGTACAAATATATCAACTTAATGAAACATAGATCTTTCTTTACAAATCTATTGTTATGGGAGTAGTAATACGGCGGAAGGCGACTTTAACTTGAACAGTGAATGGGCTATCAAGATTTTTTACATAGAGATCAGTGAGCACCTCGCATTCAATATAGGTAGGACAATAGGGCGACAAAGTTGGGTTTTCCCTGATGAGAAATACACAGTATGTAAGGCAAATCAATTTAGTTCTGTTTGTCAAAGTTAAATGATTTCAATTTATTTTATCGGGAAAGAAAATTACACTGTGGGGGGGGGGGGGGGGTGTCAAGTTGAGAATTAAAAAAAAGTGGACATTCGATCGCAAGTGTGTATTTTTTTTTTACATATATTATAAAATATGCTAATTGATATTCAACTACTATGTTATTCATTAACTGTGGCCAAAACAAAACAAAATTATAAATAATAACGGGTTTTTTTTGTTTTGAGAAACATGTTTTTCTTATTTGATCGAGTTGTATTGATCATGATCCTATGTGTTGATGTTTTTATAAACAAAATAATGAGGTGATGTGACCACGTGACAACTTTGCTCACGTGCACGCGGCAACGTCATGTTTAAAAGAAAAGGGGAAATTTTCCAATTGATTTTCACGAACGTTTGTGCACGGAAAATCTGTATTTCTCAAGTCAGACGGGTAAGTTTCACCTAATAAAATGTGTCATGTAACACAGTGACCAAGTGTACACTCCAAACATTTCCTTATAATAAAAGCTCCTCAGAAAATATGAACGAGCAAAGTTCACTGTATTTTTATAGAAATGAATTCTACATACTGGTATACGTACATTCTACATGCTGAGCTCATTACATTGTACATACTGCACAAGTGTGATTCAAAAAGAAAGTGACCTGGATTAATGATTTTGTATTCTTAAAAAACAATCACATTTGATACACAAATTATAGTATGTCTTACAAGAGCATGTTCTTTTACTCATCTGAAAAAAAGAATGACTGAAATTGATCCATGCTATCAGAAGTTATGCATTTTTACTAAAAGAAACCATTTTTATAGCTGTCCAGGGAATGCCATGGAAGCTATTGAGCTAAGAGAAAATTACAGATTTCACACAGGCATTCAAATACAAATGAGATTTTTATCATTTGAGTCTGAAATATTCTTTTTCTTTAACTTTCCGGTTTTGTGTTTTGAATACGAGGAAAGAGTTGACTTTTTTTCCTGAAATATTGCTGGCGATTTTTGGCCGTTTTCTTTGGCAAGTTTTCGTTCGTTCCAATGTTTCATTGTATTTAATGGGTACTCATCAGTTCATAGAACAGTAAATGATCACTGGTGGAGTGGAGGGCAGCTGAATTTTGTGATTTTTTTTTAGTAAAATAGACATAACTTGGGAATAAATAAGCACCATCGATACATCGATATTACTCCATTTTTTCAGGGTCCGCTCATAAGTCTGACGGCTCATAGGTCCGACGCCTCATACGTCCGACAAAATCGCATCCCCTAACCAAATAAAGGCCCATTAGTCCGACGCCTTATAGGTCTGACGCCTCATAAGTCTGACGCCTCATAAGTCTGACGCCTCATAAGTCTGACGCCTCATAAGTCTGACGCCTCATAAGTCCGACGCCTCATAGTTCCGACACCTCGTAAGTCCGACAAATTGAACGCCTAGTTTGTCCGTTGTCGAACTTATGAGGCGTCGGACTTCTGAGGCATCGGACCTACATGTACATATGAGGCAGAATAAATACATTTTATGCCTCATAAGTCTGACGCCTTATAAGTCCGAAAATACAACAATGTTTTCATATTTTTGCCTGATGGAGGAAGCTTTTTACACATTCCTTGTGTCCAGAATGGCAGAGATGATTGGTTTAGGAAAGGTCCATTAACAGCGGTCACCCCAAACCCGGTCATTATCACGCAGTGAACACCGGCTCCTCACACTGTTATTCAATTAATAAAACTCGGCGGCAACTTGTTTCTGACTCCAAGCAAAAACATCGCCAAATGCCAAGCAGTGTCGCCTTGTGCTCTACGTTTGCTGGAATTCCTCAAAAGAAACCGCCCGTTCTGGACAAATTGTCAGTGCTGAGATTTATTTTTAAAAAGTTTGAGCAATATGCTGTTGAAGAAGCCATTGGAAAATAGGGACTTAAGATTTTACTTTGATTAAAGTGTCATCTCTATGAGATAAATGATATATACCATATTCTCGATATTGGATTTCCGATATATCAATTATTGAAGTTTGTGATACCGACGGTGCTTAGGCAAATTATGTGAAATTTTCACAGTTACTAACGTCAATAACGTGTAGGTTATGTCATTTTTATGGAAAAAAGTGAGCCACATAATGTTTTCTATTTTTATTTTTTATTTCTAATTCAGTCACTGTATGTAAGCTGGTTCCCACTTGAAGTTGAATGGGCTTGCTTTATCTTTTCATTTACTAGTCATATAGTTGAAAAACAACTTGAAAAACAAAAAAACTCAACCATATGTCAACCCCCCCCCCAAAAAAAAAGAAGAAAAAATTGTATAGTAAGTATATGGTGGCCTTTAAGGGACATGCATGTAACAAGTTGTGATCATGAACATACAACATTTGGAAAAAAATGAATAAGACTGGTTGGAGTCTGGATGCTGATAATATCCCAAGCCGAAGGCGAGGGTAATTATCAGCATCCCGACTCCAACTAGTCTTAAACAGGCAGTTTAATACCTCCCAATCACACATTTATTTCCTAAGTACATTGTCATAACATTCCAGTAGATCCTTTAATAGTCCCGGATGATCCAGGATATAAATGTCAACAAGATCGAATTCATGAATAAAATCCTATTAAAACAGAATCCTTGCGTTCAATAAAAGCAGGGCAATAGGGCAACAGAGTTGGGTTTTTCCCAGGATGAGAAATAAGGCAAATCAAAACTTAGCCTTGTTTATCAATGTTAACTTGAATTATTTCGACATTTTTTTTCCAAAACGATTAAAACACTGGGGGTCTCAAGATGAGAGTAAAAAAAATTGGCATTCTGTGGCATTAATGTAAAACTAATTTGTTTTCTAAATAATGCTATTGCACAACTACTGTGTTATTCATGAACTATATGGCCAAAACAACAGGAAATGAAAAATACAAAATTATTAAAACATTTTTCTTTATTTGGTGAAACAAGTTTTCTAAATTGATCATGTGGTATGGATCATGAACCCGTACGTGTTTTGGTTGCACACAAAATAATGGAATGACCAAGTAACAACTGCGCTTGCGTGTGACGTCGTGCATGTGACGTCATGCTAAAGAGGGACTTTCCAGTAGATTTTGGTTTATTCTTCTGCGTGATAAAAGCTAAGCTTTAATTATCCTTCCTAATTGGTAAGTTTTATGTAATCAAAAGTGTATACCATACTTCAAACATTTCATGGCAATAATAGGTCCTCTAACAATAGGAACAAGTACTTCAAAGTCATCAAAGGGACCTGTAAAGTAATTCTACGTGCATGTTCATTTTCAGTGATGTAGGCCTAATTAAACATACATTGTACATGTACATGTACTTTGTTGGTTCCCACTTTGAAGCTCCCACTTTATCTTTACTGGTCCTATTTTTTCAGTTAAAAAAGGAAAGAACCTTCAACCAAAGATCAGGCAGAAAGCAACAAGAATTTATATTTTAAACAAATGGTGATCCTGAAGGGACAATAGCTACAGGTGGTTGTGGATTTTTTTATGGTTAGTCGTGAAATTTGTTACGACGTCGTGAGTGTTTTTCCCGAATATTTTTCAAGTATCTTGGAGGGTTTAACAATGTGCATCATGGGATAGCAGGGATGTTTACCCCCCCCCCCCCCCCCCCCCCCCCCCGACGCTGAAGGACAACCAGCGAACAAAGAAAAATAGACATGTAGGCCTACCTCATGGTTTTGCCCTCGGAAGTTACTGGAAAAAAAATTAGCAACAAAATTCACGACTAGTCATTAATTTTTTTACGACTAGTCATGACAAATATACTGGTTGTGACAAATATTCACAAAGCGTCATGATAAAAATTCACGATGTCGCGAAAAAAAATCACAACTGGTTAAGTCCCTCTTAGGCCAAAACAGTATCGGTTTCTGGTATGGAGCTTGCCCCAAATCAAATGGCGGCTGATGTTGCAGATGACGCTTCCATCCCCTTCGAACTCTCAAAAAATGTCCATGGGTGGAGCTTGAGGTGACCTCAGTAAGGCCATAAGGCTTGAGAATTCTGCACCGGCTTAGTATCTCAACCGACACAAACATTCTTCTAGAAGTTTGGACAAAATTACAACACCGTCTGCAAATGGTGCCCGACTAAAGTTAGCGGCAGCCCAGAGAGGCCACATAAAGCTTAAATACTCAATCGTAACCCCATCTAAAAACACACTAAAACTGTGTAGCAGCAGGATTCTAGTCAAACCAGTGGGTTTCGCAGTTTGGAGACACCATCTTACATTTACTTCTTTTTTTTTAGATTTTGCCGACGAGCATGGCTACGTCCATGCAAGCGCTGACCAAAAACAGGACTTTTTTTTTGCCTCAGGGAGCTCACCTTTTTTTTTTAGCTTCTCTGTTTTTCTCCTTTTTTTGGGGGGGGGATTGGGCACAACCCGATCACCATTTTAGAATTGTTCGAATAAATGTTCTCTGTTTCTTTCCATCTTTCTTTCTTTTTTCTAGTCACTACATCCACAGGTGTTCTTCTCAACCGTTTGTGGTACAAACTTGAAACTTTGCACCAACATAATCCCTGATAAGGTGTGTATATTATTATATGCAAATTTACTGAAAAGGTTTAATTTCATGATCCTTTTCTGTTCTTACATAAAAAAAATATTCACAACTGAGCAATGTTCTGTGAAACAGGGTTCGGCCCGATCACCCAGCGTTTGTAACTCAACAAACGTGAATCTCTAGTTTCATGTTTTCTTTTCTTTTTCTTATTTTGTGACAAGCTTTCAGACAATGCAAATTCCATCATACTAAGAAAACAGTTCGTTACGATTTATGTTACGATTTATCTGGGATAAATATACCAAAATAAGTTTCAGACAAGTACACCAGCAATGGGTCAATTATATAGGGTATTACACGAAGTTACAGAGGTTCTGAAAACACTTCCACAGAGTTTCCCCAAAATGAAGTTATCAGTTCGTATACGTGCTTAATGCTTGGACCTTCATTTGGGAAAGATCTCGGAGAAATTGTTGAGAATCCTGCAACTAATTCTTCAATGCAATAAGCTCATTGCGGATTACATTTAACAATTCCGCAATTCAACCAGGATACTTTTTCCTTGTGTAGAGCCTTGATATCTACCGGTATATTCTTGCGACATTTTTACATGTACATGTATGTCAGGAAGTCAGGTTGGCACAGTGGATCGTTTCTTGCCTCCCCCCTCTATGGCCCGAGTTCGATTCCTGCCCTGGCCACATGTGGATTGGGTTTTCAGTCCCTACCTGATTCTGTGGGTCTTCCCCGGAATATCCTTCTGGGGTTTTCCTCCCACCTCTAAAACTGTAATCACTTTTTATTGTCTTCTCTCTACAGCACCTACCTGTAGGCTGCTTTTGAGGAATCCTTGGTTTCATTACCATAGACAGATACTTTACTAATCTTGCTGTTAACTTTTTCTTGCCTTAGTTTACCGCTCCGAAGATATCAAGTCAACAGCTACATCGTTAGCCGTTCTGTCCAACACCATGTTGCCATCTAGTCCCCATACGATGGATGAACAGCATGCAAAGCATCCACTTAATGACATTCGGCCTGCATTAAGTCCTTTAAATAAGGTGGGTACAACACGATAAAATGGCTCAACACGACAGCCACGTACATGTCCAAAACCATCTTATAATGAAAACTTGGCGATGAACATGCATGACAATTGTAAGGCCTTGTGCATTACATGTATAAGCCTATCATGTCACATGTATCAGACAAGGCCGGATCCAGAACCCAATTTTTAGAGGGGACCATAAAAGATTTGTTCCCGAATAAGCTTAGTGGGTCCAAAGATTTTCCGCCCCAAATTAAATATGAAAAGCAAGGGGAAGGGGGTGCAAATGTATTGCTGAGTTTTGTGTGTGGTGTATGCAATGGCTGCCTTTTTTGCGACCATAACAAAAAAATCCCCCCCCCCCTCCTGGATCCGCCGTTGACTAGTTTAATGTGCGTTTGCTACAAGTCCGCAGAAGGATTTACATGTTACAGAATATATCAACAGCATTACATGGCTTATTTACAGTGGAGCACCGCTATAACGAACATCACGGGATCCACAGAAATTGTTCGTAATAGCGAACGTTCGGTATAGCGATCTTAAGCTGCTGGTACTCCGGTACTCAAAATAGCGCCCTTCAGAACGTCACCCTGCACGCCCTACTGAAAGATGACTTTGAACACGTGCCGACTATTGAATCATGTAATATACACAGTTTTGAGCTTACTACCTACAGCAATGGGTGGCTTTCCACCTTCTATTCCTTGGGGAAATAATAGCCACTTGTCGCTCTTCTGTTGACTTTTTTCAACAGCAACGTTCAGTACGTTTTGTACACAAACATCGGTAGCCAAGGACGATGTTCGGTATAGCTGAATGTTTGGTATATAGCGGTGTACGGTAAAGCGACGTTCCACTGTATCATGCAATTTGACTCCTATACAATGGTGCCTGGGTTCGAACCCTGCCAGGAGCATGGTGTTTGTGCCCTTGGGCAAGACAAAAAACTGACCTGATGAATGGGGGAATAAATGTAAAGCGCTCTGAGATTGTTGATGATGAAAAGCGATATTACTTTATTTATTTAATTGTATCTGATAAACATACAGAGACCATATGTATACACAAAACTCCTGTATTTCAACGAGTTTGTACATTTGTTTTAAAACGATATCAGCATAACACACCTCGAATAGCCCCATTCCAATGGGGCCGTGGCAATTCCCCCCCCCCCCCAAAAAAAAGAAGGAAACGAGGCAGACAAAATAGTCTGTTCCAAAGCCAAGCAGGCTTGACAACATTTGTTCCCAACCAAAATTAAACTAAATTTCCCTCTCTTTTCCCACGGCAACGGAACCCAACAACTGAACAGAGTGGACCTTAGATTGTTCCCAATCCCAATTTGGGTAACTTCTAAAACTGTTTTCTAAGACAGAAGTTGGAAGGAAAAAAGACAACAATATATGAACTTAAATTCTTGTTCCCTCAAACAGGCACACAACTACAGAGAGTTTTTTTTAAGTCCTTCTTTCACTTCGCAGATTTTGGGAGGAGAAAATTCACTACCAGCTCCTGATGATCGTCCTCCAAACATCGAAACCGAAAAGGTACAGTTCACTGTGAGCTTCATTCTGTTTTTCTTCACTCTGTTTTCTTAACATGCTTAAGGGCCTGTCACACTGTCACGTTCTGGTATGGAGTTTGTACCGCGACCAAGAAAATTGACTAAAACGAGGTAAGAGCGCTGATTACGCTTGGGGACTCATTGATACTAGATACGGCTTGGGGACTCATTGATCTTACATATCTAGTAAACAAACGTCGCACCTTGGCGTTTTGATCAGAACGCGATAAGGACTCTGCGCGAACTCCTTCCAAATGGCCGTGACGTAATGGCAACGTGCAGGCAGACGGGAGCGACGTCCTGAGTACTCCACGGATATGTGCATGCATCAGGACTGCACGTCTCCTCTAATGACTATTGCCCATTTTGGCCCGAGTATTTATATACGCCGCGCTCCTGGCTGCTGACATCACACGTATGTTTTAAGGTCGCATCAAGCGTGCGATAAGGACTCCAAGAACGTGGTACAAACTTATTGGACGCCATGAGGACGCAGCGAGGACGCAGCGAGGACGCAGAGGATGCCGCGCAGACTTCTAATTGGAATTCAATGGAACTCATACAGATTAACGCTGCAAGGACGCCATAGAACGCCACACAGACGTCTTAGATTTACGGTGGACGCCATGTATGGACGTGACAGTGTGACAGGGCCTTTACAATGAAATTCCATGATTTTCCACAACTTGAGTCATCACACTTGAGGCAAGGGACGTCACTCCCTTTCAGCCTCCAGCTTGATACTCATCAGCACCACCAAATGTATGCAACAAGAACGTACATTATTTAGAGAAGTATAGTTTATTGCAACGTAAACTTGAAGACTGCCATGGACCAATTTCCTAGAGCTGCTTGAGCACTAAATTTCCTTTAAAAGCACAAAAGAACCTTGCCTAATATAATCAGGATACCGGCCAAAACGCCATGCGATGTACATTGCTTGTGACTGGTATTTAGCTGTTGTTTACTTAGCAACAATCGCATGGGTAACCTGATGATATAAGCAAAGTTAATTTGTGCTTAAAGCATATTTTATGCTGAAGCAGCTCTATGTGATTGGATGTTGTAATTTCATTGGTATAGAATGGCTATACATTGTACGTGTCAAGTCTGTAAAAATAACTGTTTACTTCATAAAATGTGCACAGCGTTCCATACATGTAAATTTTCTATAAACCTCATACACATTGCGCTGCATATACATTTGTAGACTGCGTGCATTGTGTTACCTGTCGCTTGTGACCGAAAACTGCAACCACTCAGTCTCATATCGGGCAGGAAAGCCTGCAGTTATCAAAGGTTACAACACAGAGATTCAATTTATTTCTTGCAGATTAAGTTACAACCATTTAGCACGAAAGAATTTTTGACTGCTGTGATCTGGTCAAACGTCATATCCCACATCACAGCAGTCAACAATGGTTTAAAGCTACAATCCATCATTTGCAGCTATCCAAAAAGTAACTGACATAATTATTGTTGAAAAACATACTTGGTTGAAGATAGTAAGGGGAATAAACTCCCTGTGAAATTATTCTTCCTGGCTAGCTGTCATTTGGAAGAAATCAACGAAAGAAGGCCTTCCAACGGTGCGTCTTAAGAAGGAAAATTCCGTTAGTAGTTCATTTATTTTATTTGGCGAAGCGCACGCGCGCACAGTTGCTATAATTCGTCGGATTGGGGCGCGACATCGCGCAGCTGCAATCGGCTCAGACGCTGAATACAGGCCCAATTCAAAACATGATTCAGCAACTTCTGATTTGAAATCGAATCCTAGAATGCTGTGTTTTTTTCTTGGAATATACAGCTGAAGCTGAGCTGAAACTTCATCAGGTTCACCTGTATTTAGATTTTGAGCATGTTTTTCAAATGAACAAAATGCACAAATTACAAATGATGGACTGTACCGGTACCTTTAAATACCCCGGTACCAGGTATGTAAACTGCAAGAACATACCCTGCACATATCTCTTTCTTTATCTTGCTTTGCTGAAATACGTGTACATGTAGGCTTAAAAGGAAGAACACAGAGGAAGCAATAACAGAGGCGGAGGGTCTAAAACCTGTTACAAGTTTACTAAAACATCACGTCATAATTTTTATCCACAGAGTAAGAAATGGGATGATGACTCCCAATTCTTTATGACTGGAGTACAAGACAATTCCCAAGATTTGAATAGTGCATTGGAGAATAAGCATCAATTTCAATCTCTTGAGGTAAGACATTCAAAGACTGACACACTAATTGATAATCTGTTATTAGAATTGAAACCAATTTTTTTTAACAGCAACTCTGTGCTGTTATTTGATAAAGTCAAAGCATTTAAGCCCGGTTCATACTCTGCGCGAAAGCGAAAGCAAACGCGAATTTGTGACGTCATGGCAAGTATGTGCGCTGCGATTTCGTAAAAGTTAAACATATTTCAACTCGGGCGAATTTCGCAGCGAATGTTTTATGACGTCAAATTCGCTTCGCATTTGCTTTCGCATGAAGTATGAACCGGGCTTTAGGGAGGGTTTTTCTCACAGAAGATCCCTTGAAATTAAGTGATTAAGCTACTAAAAAAGAGGCTAATGAAATTTTGTTGGTTCTGCAATAAGATTGTAAATTGTTAACTTATACCCTGCATAAATTTGGAAATTCCCTTATACATGTACTGCACACTGTTGGAAGAATCTTTCCAGCATCCTTACATCATTAGTGTGTACAAACAGTAGGTCATATGCTACATAACAATTGTTAACAAAAAATCAATCATAAAATCTCTAGATGGATAAATTTTTATTACTCGCGTTATGGTTACTTGCGTTACGGTAACTCGCATTACGGTAACTCGCATTACAGTTTGTCCACCCATCTTTGGTACAAGTTAAAAGATACATTTACCGGTACAAGAAACTCATAATCAAACCAAATAATCTCTTTTGGCACAGACTATGAACCCTTCTCTCTGCCTTAAAAACAAAACCCCACAATAAGGCCAAAAAAAAGTCGGTCTCTGGTCAGCGCGCGCGTCAATTTGAATCATGCGCGTCAATCTTTTATTTTCCAAAATGTTCCACGGTAGCTCCAACAGCGCCCACTATTGCCGCAGCTCCTCAATTTTTTTTACCAAAGAGCACCAAGGAATGGGAAATTGCACCAAGGCAAATGATCGAGAGCACCTAGGCAAATTATGGAGGACACTAATGTACATGAGGACACCAAAAAAGCAAAATAGTACCCCACCTTGTCTGTACAATCCAAGCTTGAAGAAAAAAAAAAGAGCAAAAAAAAAAAAAAGCCGCATCCCCGCGTCAATTCCGGAACTTTGGTCAGACCAGAGACCGAATTTTTTTTTTTTTTTGGCTTAACACTTGCATTGTGCATACCGGGTACATGTAAAAACAAGGTGCCAAAATGACTCTGATTTTAGCCCCCACAACATTTTTTTTTTCATGAATGAATAAATTTGACCATATTGCCACATCACTGAAATGAAAGGTCTTGTTGTCCACTTTAAGTTGACACCACATTTCGAGGTTGCAGTCTTGCAGTTCTGGAGATTACACAGATTTTCCCTTTTTCAGCTGTCACAATCCACATTAATTTTGGCGTGGAATCGCCCTTTATCATATTTCCTTTGTGAACAGAATAACAGAGTTCGTGAAGAACATCGTATTTGGATGAATGAACGGCGGATTAGAATGAAGGAGGTGAGCTTTCAGTTTCTTAAAAGTTGCCAATACCACTAAAGCCTGTATCCCATCAGTGGTGATCATGGGGGAAATGACGATGCACCACCATGTTGGAAATTTTGAACTGATGATGGACGCCGCCTATTCAGGTGTTCAAGCATGGATAGTACAGGCATGTTTGTATGCATACCAATTTACATCCATGCTTCGCAGTACATGCGTATACCATGCACTATTGGAATTTACATCTGAGCGTTGGACAGGGCATCCCTACTTCACAGGGGGAATGATATTGTTAAAAGCTTTGGTGCACTAGCCAAAGTGGTACAATTTACATTTATAACATTCAGTATACAAATGTAATTGAATGACTAAATGTATAGGAGGGGTGAATTTCTCTCTTAAAATCTGCTAATAATTATGAGTTGTGAGGATATGTAAACAGTTGTGGTGCCAGACTCTAAAATTTGGGGGCAATTGGGGGCAAGCAAATATTTTTGGGGGCAGTCAAAGGTCCAGAAGCCAGTAGAGCAAATTTAGAAATGTAGTCATTTTATGAATGAGAAATATATCAATCCGCAGAAAAAAATACAACAAATTTATGTATAAGGCCAAAAAACAAAAAATATTCGGTCTCTGGTCAGACCAAAGTTCCGGAATTGACGCGGCCACGCGGCTTTTTTTTTTTTTTTTTTTCCTTATTTTTTTTTTCTTCAGCTTGGATTGTTCAGACAAGGTGGGTACTATTTTGCTTTTTTGGTGTCCTCATGTACATTGGTGGCCTCCATAATTTGCCTTAGTGCTTTCGATCATTTGCCTTGGTGCAATTTCCCATTCCTTGGTGCTCTTTGGTAAAAAAAAAATGAGGAGGTGCGGAAATAGAGGGCGCTGTTGGAGCTACCGTGGAACATTTTGGGGAAAAAAAGGATCGACGCGCATGCTTAAAATCGACGCGCGCGCTGACCAGAGACCGACTTATTTTTTTTTTGGCCTAACAAATGTACATGTTCAAAGACATGGTTACGTCTCGATAGTCCAAAGTTCCACTGGTCCTCAGTCCCATTCGTCCCATTGGTCCGACGAATCATAATACTGTGTAGTTCCACTGGTTCAGGTTGACTGACCCTAACCGTAACCCTAACCCTAACCCTAATCCTATGGGGCTTCCGACCAATGGGACTTCGGACCAATGAGACTTCGGACCAATGAGACTTCGGACCAATGAGACTTCGGACCAATGAGACTTCGGACCAATTGGAATTCGGACCAATGAAATGTTACAGCACACTATCCACGGCAGAATAAATGCATGCCTGTGGCATGTTTTGTTTTACCAAAGTACAAACATTTAGAATGCTTTCATTGGCCCAAAATGTGTCCTCAAAACTGATGATTCTCTCTCTATCTTCAACTTGTTATGAATCTTAACAGCGAAGAAAATAATCACAATTAAATTATTCTATAAAGTGTTCAGGGAAAACTGGGAGGGGGGGGAGGGCAAACTGGGGGGTGGCAAGAAAAACAAATCCCCCCTTGCGCCGCCACTGATTGTAAATTTATACAGTTGACTATCGTTAAAACAAACTCTGTTACAAACAAACTTTTGATTATATACATGTAGTGAACATAAAGTCTTACACGTACATGTAGTTCTGACTATCGATATGCATTTAAATGCATTATGGTACGGTACCAGCACTCCTACATCTACCGGTACATGTACGGTACTGATACAAAATTTGGATACAACAAACGTTTTAGTTAAGTTTGGCTGACTTTGTACAGTATTCAATGTACCGTATAATTTTAAACGGGGGTTGACTATGTGAGCGAATGAATCTACATACACATGGGCGTCGCGAGGGGGGGGCAAGGGGGGGCACTTGCCCCCCCCCCCTGGAAAAGCAAAAAAAAAAAAAAAAAAAAAGGAAGAAAAAAAAGAAAAGAAAAGAAAAGAAAAAGAGGCGCGAAGACAAAGTGGTGTAAATTTAATGAGTTGGGGGGGGGGCAAAATGTCCCTGCCCCCCTCTAAAACTGATAAATCGAGAATGTGTTGAGAAATACAAGCATTTTTTGGCAAAAAAAATTTTTGCCCCCCTCTAGAAAAAATCCTGGCGACGCCCATGTACATACATGTACAATGTACATTGCTTAAATTTATAAAGTTAACCTGTTTTCTTTCTTACGTTCTGTACATTGTACAAGCAGAATGACAAGCTCATGTTGACTGCACGTGGACCGCCGTCCCAATACGAACCACCAGCACCATTTGACTTGTGGCTGACACAGCCAAGTCATTTGCAATAAATACCGGTATGTTGCCTGTGATTGCTCTAGCAACTAAATTTACAGAATTTTCTACCATGTAAGGACTCTATCTGGTATGGGCCATTCTTTGGTCACTGTGTGAGATAAAATTGGGCTCATTTGAGTTCACCCCTTGTTAACTACATCTGACATATTACTTTCAATGATTCATCAGGTTAGTACTTTTTTCTCCCTACTTCAGAGTATAGTTTCCACTTTCACACATTGTGTCAAAATATTAGGAGGAATCATCAAAGTTTGGTCATGTGTGTGACATCAGACGTACAAATGTTATCGGGCCCATATCGGAAATTCACGCTTTTCTCCAAAGTTCTAAGGACACACACACGTGCTAATTTCAGAGAAAGACTAGTCTTTTATGATTTACAGACTACACACCCTGGGAACAAGGGCGGATCCGGGGGGGGCCAAAGGGGGCCATGGCCCCCCCCCCCAAACAAAACCAATTTTTTTTTTTTTATGTGACATCGCAATAAAGGCAGGCAATTAGTACACCACCATCTTTTCCTCAAAAAACATTGGTTAAAGTGATCAGAAATTGCCTCAGATCGCACCACAGAGCATCTAGAATCCAAAAAATTTGAACCCGAACCCCATGCCGTAATTTTTTTGACCCACTTTTTGGGGGACCAAAAAATTTTTTGGCCCCCCCAAAAAATTGTGTTCTGGATCCGCCCTTGCCTGGGAATTGTTCTGTGGTCACGTGTGTGACATTTTGATCGGTCTGTGTGTGACATATTGTTATTAAATTTATGCTAATTAAGTTATGCAAAGTTAGTCATTTACGGAATTAGTCATTTACACCCCCTCCCCACTTTCCCTGTTAAATACATTCCATTTGTGATCAATTTTAGTTTTCTTATTTCTTCACTAGGAGGAGGACACCCTGACACTTGAACACACAAACAACGAGAGCTGAGAGAAATCAAGGCCTTCAAGTTTGTAGCTATATCCCCAGACCACGACTTCTTGATTATTATTAGGGCATGAAATTGGATTTTTCCTCAGTCATGAACGAAGTCCTAAAAAAACTTCAACTTTTCAAAGAGTAGACTTTTTGCCAACTAGTCTACTACAGAGTACCACCACTGGCTGGGATCCCAGACGACATCAGACTGAAAGCAGCAACCTTGGCAGTTGCACGTCGTTCACAGGAACCCAACCAGCATCTCCATGGAACCGAGACCAGAGCAGAGAGACAAACTGGCTCCCAACAGCTTCTGAAATCTAGGAAGCCGTTCGCCTCAGATGCCAAGGAGCTGACTAAGACCTCTCAGCCAAACGAGATCACCTCTCACTGGACCACCAAGACATGGACAGCTCAGTGGCACTCAACACCTTCGCCCTTGCAGCGTTTCATAGTGGATCCATGAGTGGATATATATGACTGAAGAAAACCCAATTTCATGCCAATTTGTTTAAATGTTTATCTTTTAAAGGGCCCATGACATGCACTGACCTATCGCCATTTGCGAGTTAGCCACGCCCCTCAGACAACCCTATGGAGGTTGTGTACACTAAGTTTCGTTTGTCTCAGATTTTACGTGTTCCGCGTCCATTCGTATATCATGTAATTGGACAATAATTTCACAAGCTGCGTTGATGCGATTTTAACACGATTCTACTGTGATAGGTCAATTTTACTTGCACTCATATTTTGTGCAACTTTCTACTCCTCTTAAATGTATGAAAAGTATTTGTCATCCCTTTTTGGTTGATTTTATTGAAAAGTGCCCTTTTTTAAAAACATTTCAAGTTTTCCATATGCTTTTCCTGACTAATGAAGGCGCTGTTGCTGTGTTGTCATTTCAGGAAGACACTGTTGAGTTTAGGGGTTTTCTTTTCAAAATGTGAACCCAAAAGTTGCTCATGGAAAACATTTGAGGGGAAACTTTGCTCACTGACCTAATGTCATGTACTGAAACAACAACGAATCACTAAAGAAAAGAAAATTTGCCATAGCAAAACATCCAAAATTGTGGCAAATTTTGATGTGGAAATAGCTGTAACATTGAGGTATCTGCCTGAAATGACAGCACACTTTTGCCAAAGAATATATATGCAAATACACATTGGCATAAAAACCAAAAAAGGGCACCAAAATGCCCTTCATTAAAAATGGTGAAATGAAAATTCAAAATAAGGTTAAATGGCGCACAATTTCCAAGGATGGCATTAAAAAATTACATTGCATGGGCCCTTTAAATGAAATGTAAAAGTTAGTACACATGAAAGATACATGTATGGCCTTTCCACACTATAAAAATGAACACAGGTCAATCGTATGCAGATCTGGGTCCCATTGAACACGGGTGGGCAAAGCTACTGTTCACACTTACATCGGTGTGTACCCAGATCAGCAAATGTTGGGTTTTCTTACCCGGGGTAGAGCTTCTCAACCCTGGTCCCGACCTTGGATTTTACCCATGCAGAGAGTGTAGAACTAGAAGCTGTGTTGGATTCTTTCTAGTGTGAAAAGGATTCCCGAAATCTCTGAGATTTGGGATAGTGTGAAAGGCTCTAGAGGGCAAGTCAAAAAAAGCGAAACCCATTTACATTTGCACGCATCCCCATGTGATTTGTTTTCGTTTTGCTGAAAGAACACACACCGTTTTGTGATTTGTGGACAGAACTTTAAAACAGTAGTTCTGTTTAAAATTCCGTAACTTGAAAGTACATGAGTGATTTGAATGATTCTTAGTACTAAAAAGAAAGCTTATGAATTAGGCTTTCATATCCTACATTTTGAAAGTGCTACATGCACATGCAGAACTTCACTAAAACAATGGTACCAACATTTGGGTTTCGTTTTTTTTTACTTACCCTGTATAGGTGCAGGATTAGGGGATATCTTTTATCTAATAGTGCAGTGTTTTGCTTATCATTTTGCTTACGTAGCCAGTAAATTCATTTATAGAAGTAAGGCTAATTAACATTTCACTTGAATGCATACACGTACACGCATTTCAAAAGTAACTTGTTTTAATAAGCATGACATAGACCCTCAAGATAAAAAAGGAAACGTGTCCTGCAGACCCTTAGAAGTGAAATGTCTACAGTACAGAATACTGAAAATGGAGGAAATAATAGAAAATGAACAGAGACAAAAACTCCCGATCATTAGGAAAGTATCAGGCCTGATTTGAATAACAGTGAGGGTCCGCAAATATAACGACATTACAAATTATAATTAACTCTATCTCCCTAGGCATTTTTGCAACGATGCAACCGCAATCCTGCAAATTCCTCCAACTGCCTCTATGTAAAAATTTCCTTTTTTTCACTGACTCAATCGTCCAAAATCATAGATGTTATTTCTCAAATGTGGTCCTTGGAGGAGTGACCACTGCCTCAATCCTGCAAAATCCTCCAGCAATCACTTTCAATATGTCGAGGCAGAGCCAGTGACATCCTGGAGCACTGCAGAGGATTTCAAGTACATTGTATAATCTAGGCCTAAATTTATGCGCGGCTGAGCATAAACAACACAAGGTCTGCCCCAAGACCTTGACACAGTGCATCCTCCAAAATCAGCACCACACTTATCCAAGTAGCCAAAATCGTCCATTTTGCAAAGAGGATTTTGGAGGATTTGGGAAGGTTAGTGTAATAAAATTAATTACTTACCGGTATTTCCTCCTGATAATGAAACCAGGGAGTCCTCAAAAGTCCCCAACGCAATTTCTTTCAAGCCTGAGGAATACTGTAGAAAGTGATAATCAAGAAATGCTCGGTGTCAGTGAAACGTCTACAGGACAAAAAGCCAGACAAATATTCGGGCGCAAAAACCTACTGAATCAGGCAGTGATAAAAACAATTTGTATATCATTTGGCCCGGGTGGGAATCGAACCTCGGTCACTGAGGCAGAAGGCAAGGAAAGTACCACTGTGGCATGCACCAACCTTTCTCCTGGAATCAATTCCCAAATAAACAATATTCATAAATACCTAAGACAGTTAAGTCCCATTCCCATTGGTCAAGAGCCCATCAAGTGGTCAGTCTTCAACAGATTAAACACTGCTAATACTGCTGATAAGGCCAAAAAAAAAAAATATTCGGTCTCTGGTCAGACCAAAGTTCCGGAATTGACGCGGCCACGCGGCTTTTTTTTTTTTTTTCTTTTTTTTTTTTTTTCTTCAGCTTTGATTGTACAGACAAGGTGGGTACTATTTTGCTTTTTTGGTGTCCTCATGTACATTGGTGGCCTCCATAATTTGCCTTGGTGCTTTCGATCATTTGCCTTGGTGCAATTTCCCATTCCTTGGTGCTCTTTGGTAAAAAAAAAAATGAGGAGGTGCGGAAATAGAGGGCGCTGTTGGAGCTACCGCGGAACATTTTGGAAAAAAATCGACGTGCATGCTTAAAATCGACATGCGCGCTGACCAGAGACCGACTTATTTTTTTTTTGGGCCTAATTACCAGCATTCCAGACTCCAATCAGTCATAAACATAGTGTTTAAAACCTCCCAAGCAAAAATTTATTCCCTTAAAGGGCTCAGTTTAGTTTTAAGTGAAACTGGCGCTGTCAAGTAAAATATTAATTCGCCTTACGTGCAAATATTATATAAGTAGCAAGTTTTTAAGCCTGTGCTTTCTAGAGCTAGTTCATATAGTTACTGCAACACATTGCATAATTTACATGATAATTATTATCACAACTGAAGTGCTGTGGTAGCTAAATTGCATTAAAGGTGCAGGGATTTTTTTTTCGTTTCCAAAAGTTTGTTTACTTTACTTTTAGTTTTAATGATTAAAATCAAATCCTAATTTTTTTTTTATATCAATTATGTAATTTTTTTTTCTAATTTTGGGATTCTCTTGTCAAGGAAAGTTACATCATAAACATGAAAATATTTGCTTTACTATGTCACATACGTACTCACCAAAGTTTTGTCCTGTAATGTATCGTTATCTCAACAAAACATTGGTGTGTACACCGTTTTGACGAAGTGACAAATCTGCGCACACAGCTGCAAAACAGAGTTTTAGAAAATCAAATTTGAAGTTGGTCTGTTTCTCAAATCGCGTTTCCGTATATATTTCTCCCCAAAATTGAAAAATACATATCTGATGCGATAGCCCAGTATTTAAATAGCCAAAAAATTGTCTCTGTTTATATAAAACCATGTTTTATTAGGAGACATTAATTACTGAAGATATTCGTCCCTTCGTCAAACCTAAATTCGTCGCGCGCATATGCGTACATATAGTATGATATAATGGTATATGCAGATTCGTCACTTCGTCAAAAACACACAATTGCAGAGGTTACATAAATCTAACCATCCGGTTCGTTAGTGTGAAGTCATCTCAATTCAACCATGCGTACTTCACACGGTAAAGCACGAACCGGAAGTTAACGCAACTGGAGCGTTTATCCAATGGGCATATGACGTTTTTACTAATGAACCGGATAGCACACGTGTTAAATAATTGAGACTAAGAGATGAATACAAACTAAGTTTGTCGCAAGTTAATCACTTGTGTAATTAGCATAATTAATGATGATGCAATTTCGTGTCTCGAAATTTGGTAATCACGTACATGTAGAGGACATCACAAAATGTTAGTCCAAAAAATCTCAAATTGTTAGAAATCTTGGTTTTGGACAGATTCGTCACTCCGTCAAAACGGTGACCACATATTGGTGAATGGACCTTTCAGAATTTGTTTCTCACTCACGAATACATATGAGGTATAGTAATCACACATTACCTTTGATATGTGGCATTAGTGTGAGGTCCCGGTACACTGTACACAGACCGACAGAAAGTTCAGATCATCGACTGACAGTCACTTGTAGCTCATACCGGTATTTGGGCCTCTGCTCTTGCACATTTTACCTGAAGAACAAAATCAAAATAATCAAAATTCAGAACACCAAGGTGAGGCAAGCATAAGTAAAGCTGGACCCAGAGTGCACATAATTGTATTTGACTGATTGACTGGCTATCTATCTGAATTTTCATAAGATGGAATTTTGGGTCAGGGTGATGTAAATGGTACTTAATAGGTTTTGCACTTCACAGGCGTATGTTACCTCCCGAGTGAAAGTTGAAAAATCACTTGGGTGGGACTTGAACTCACAACCTCCTGCTTTCTACTGCAGATGTCTTACCACTCGTGTACATAGCAGCGGATACAGCATTTCACTAATCATAAGATGGAATTTTGCGTCGGGGTGATGTAACTTTGATGTGATATAATTTTGCGTTGTGGTGATTTTTTTCACTTGGGAGGTAACACACCGAGTATATAGTGTTTATACATCGGTGAAGGGCAAACCTAATTTGATATCTGAATTTCGTTCATGCACCTGTTCTACACAATGGGCCAGGTTTTAGTCCAGTCGTTTGCATTATGGAGTAATCCTATACAACAGCACTGCCCAGTTAACTTGGGGAGTCAGTCAGTAGTTGGCCAGTCAGTCAGTGAATCGATCAGTCTGTCAGTCGGGTAAAATGAGGACACTAGGGTGTCTTTTCAATAAATGTCCACGTCCAAAAAATTGGAAATCAAAATTCACATATTATTGTAAATAAATTTCATTTCATTAAATATTACATTATGTACGTTCTTCTTTTTGAATTTATATAATCTGCTTGTTTTTGCTAAAATTATGCACTTATCTATTGTTCTTTTCCATCCCTATCTCTCTCCACCCCCCCCCCCCCTCCCATATGACCCCAACTCCCCTAGGCTACCCTAATCAAAACTTAACAAACAATAGGGGGGCGGGGCAGGCGGGGCGAGCGGAGGGAGGACTTTTATACATAAGTGCATAACACTTGCTTAGCTGTACATTGCTTTTAGAATTCATTTCATACGTACATATACTGGTAGATGCTTTTAGTGTTACTTTTAAGCTACAGTTAATTAGTTTGTCTTATTCATAAGATGGAATAGTTTGTCTTATTTGGGCCTAAATAAATACATAATGCATGAAACGCATCTGTCGTCAGTGTTAATTTTATTTTTATGTATTTTTTATGTCATCTGAAAAAAAAAAACCTACACATGGTGAACTTTAAGATTTTGAGAAAGGTTACCATTAAATATGCAGCCAATTTCAAGAAACGGTGCTTAACTTCCATGCATAGGATTTAAGCGGCAAATTTGTTACACTGCCAGCTGTGCAATAAACTTATGATCTATTCCACAAAACTTAGCATAGCTGTGCAGTGGGGCGTAACACTACCGGTACCACAAGTCTTCACTAAACTTGGGAAAATCCCAATTACTTGAGTTTTGTTGAATTGGTAATAAAATTCAGTAATATTTTCCAATAAATTTCCAAATTTTCCAATAATTGTGAAGCGATCAAGCTAAATGAGTCGTTTGACGATGACTTTCATTTGGAGATTCAGGCCCAAATAGGGCCACTTCTTCACATCTCTTTGAGTTCCGACTTCCATAATTTAAAATATGGTAATAAGCATGCGGTTTTCACAGCAGTAACACTGAGATTGAGCTCTTTTCAAAACTGGGGGGAAAAAAAGACAAACGACTCATTTAGCTTGATCGCATCACAATTATCAGAGATGGAACTGGCATACGAGAAAAAAATTGGAAAATACATTGTAGGCAGAACTAAAACATGCGTCCGATATCTGGGCAGCACTGCAGTTACACATGTACTGGTACATGTACACACATATATATATATATATATACGTGTACAATTCATGTTCAATTTCCAGACACAGCCCCCTGTACATTTTGCAATGAGAAAAATCTCCATACAAGGAGTTGTGTACACCTTTCTGGTTTTTGACCTAAAAGTTTTGGGTTTTATTTTGCCCAAAAAGGTATTTAAGAATGCGTTCGGTTCGGGTAATTAATCAGCACCCCAGACTCCAAGTGGTCTTAAACAGAGTGATTAAAACATCCCCAACACACAGTTATTCCCTTATTAAAAGAACAAGGCTGTTTTGGCCAACCCCCCCCCCCCAAAAAAAAAAAAAAACAATCTTTAAGAAAGCAAAGGCTGTTTCGCCAAATTTAACAGCCAATAATCTTGAAATTTCTTTCCAGGTACTGTACCAGTCATCAGGCAATTTTTGATCGGTCCCTTGTTTTCTTTAGTTTGGAGCAGCTCAAGTATGGCGAGTCCGAAGGGCGCCACTGTGTGGCGGAGATGGGTTATGTTAGTCTCCCACCTCCGTCGCCGGTTGCACGTTTCGACCACTGCTTGTACAGAACAAAGTACAAGTAGCTCAACAGAACCCACAGTGTGGAGGGTAATTCATTAACATGGTCATTATATCCATTTTCGATTATCCAGTTTGTGTCGTGTGTACATGCGACAGTGAACCAGTCTAGGGAATGTCAAAGGTTAATTACCGGTGTCACATGAAAATCCGACTCCTATGAAAATCGGACCCCTATTTCCCTATTATTGGTTGATCCCTCGCACGTGACAGGTCACTCTCCGGAAACGATCCTAAAAATAGCATAGTATCGTACTCACGCGTGCGCAGTACTACCAATGAGTCCACATTTCACGGAGTCGGATATTCACGCTACACCGGTATCTGTATCTGCATGAAGACCATGATGTAATTGAGTGCATTTCCGGATCATAAAAAAGCAGAGATCGTTGCAGAGATAAAAGCTATTTGTTTGCAGTCTGTTTATTGGTTTAATCTAGAAATAACAGAACTTGACATTCTGCCATTTGCCGGGCCGGGTACTTGCAAATAGGAGTCAATAACTCCGCTCCAAACGGAGGAAGTGCAACTGCAACAATGGAATTTCGGTTGCAAGGGGTGCTGACTTTGGTGATCATTGTTACCTCAGCCTTTGGCCTACAACAACTCCAAAGATATCTTGCACAGCGCCACCGCTCGGATCAAGAACATGTGAGTTATTTTCAAATACTGATATAAAAGTATTCTTTATGAAAATATGGGGTATTGCCTTTTTATCCAAATGTTCTGTTAATTTGCATCCCAAATTTTCACATGCAGTACGTATGCACGTCCTGTATGCAATGGAGCCTCGAACAGGATGTGGTTTAGGCCAAAAAAAGAAATAGTTCTACTTTCGATTACATGCTTTTCAAAAATAGTGTGGGTCGGTAGGACATTTTTTTGCTATTATTTTTTGTGCTGATTGAATGGGGTATTCAATTGCATGCGAAATTCAGCATGAACTACTTCCATTTGCGCCACGAAAGCTATAAAAACAAGTCAGGTGTGTTTACAAACACAAATGCCCCGCAACCGTGACTGTTTCCATGACATAACACCACTCTAACATCAACTTACATGTACCTTGGTCAAATGGAACGTTCATTGATAGTGTCTTCTGTAGGTTTTATATGAATTAATCCCTAATCCCTATGATCTCAGAATAAATACAAGATTTCTATTGTTTTAGCCACTGTGACCTTGACCCTTGACCTTTCGACCCCCAATGCGATAGGCTCCTGGGGATTGCCAAGGACAATCCACAAACCAAATTTGAAGTTCATATGTAAAGTATATATCTCAAGTTATCATGCTGACAAAATTTCTTTTGTTTTTGCCACTGTGACCTTGACCCTTGACCTTTTGGCCCCAAATGCAAAAGGCTTCTTAGGATTGCCAAGGACAATCCACAAACCAAATTTGAAGTTCATATGTAAAGTATATCTCAAGTTATCGCGCTGACAATTTTTTTTTTGTTTTAGTCACTGTGACCTTGACCCTTGACCTTTTGGCCCCAAATGCAAAAGGCTTCTTAGAATTGCCAAGGACAATCCACAAACCAAATTTGAAGTTCATACGTTAAGTATTTCTCAAGTTATCGCGCTGACAAGATTTGTCCGGACACAAACACACACCCACACACACTTGTTTCACATGACTAGTGTGGACTTTCCATTGCTTTCGTGTAGTTAAGAAAAACCAGTGAAAAAACTCATTTTTCTCAAACTGTGAAAACTCTTTCAACCCAATTTTTTTTTCTATGATTCCCTTTAGTGTTTCTCTTCATTCTGCTACAGATAAACCTAACCCAAAAATGCCTCTAAACCTGTTTTCCAGAAATGGGGAAACACTGTGTGGACGTGGGCAAGTCCACACAACGTCGGTGCTACCTACATTATGTGGACGTCTTTTGTTCGGAAGTCCACACTGCGTATGTAAGACAAGCTCACACCCACCCACACACACACTCACCCACCCACGGAAGGACAAGGCGGAAACAGTATGCCCCTTCAGCTTCGCCGCGGGGCATAAAAATGGCCACAAAAAGTGACAAAAACTTGCCTTAATAAATGTAAACAAAATTTACGGTCAATAATTCTTAAAAATAATGGAGAATCCAGGTTGTGCACACCACAACACTAGTCACTGTCATGTATGGTCTTGTGTAATAGCGCCCCCATGTGGTTACTGTATTCTAATTGATATATCGATAATCAATAAACGACACACGAAATCAAGATGGCGTGTCTGTAGAACCCGTCCATGACATGGTGTCAGAAGTGGGCCGAAAAAAACATCAAAAAGGATAGATAAAGTCGAGCTCCCAGCACACTTGAAACTGCAGGGAAACCTGGCAGAAAATTATAGATGGTTTGAGCAAAGGTTCGACATCTACATGCTCGATACGGGCAAAACGAGTAAGCCTGACGACCAGAAAACAGCGTTGTTTTTGCACATCGCGGGAGAAGACGCAATCAAGCTGTACAACACATTCACGTGGGAAGTGGAAGGAGACAAGAACAAGCTCGCTAAGGCCAAAAAAAAAAGTATTCGGTCTCTGGTCAGCGCGCGCGTCGATTTTAATCATGCGCGTCAACCTTTTATTTTTCCAATATGTTCGCGGTAGCTCCAACAGCGCCCTCTATTGCCGC